AAAACGCAACAACCGCGGGTTCCATGCACCACCCCTAAACCCAGCGTGAGCTGGTGGACATGAGCATTTGGTTTTGCGAGAAGTTGTCAGAACCTCTGTCTGCATGGCTTTTGCGTCTCTGGGATATAGGGGTAGAAAACATTGTTCTGTTGGATTCTGAAATGAGTAGACTGGCTTCCCTGATGACTCACCCTTCCCTCTGGCAGTGGTTGCAAAGTGCCCATCACACCTCAGAGAATCGGGTGCCTCTGGATTGGCTGACAGCAGCCATTAGGGAAGTTTGGCCTAATCAGGGTGATTTACTATACTTATCCACTAGCTGGAGAAAGTATGCAGAGCTCCAGCAGGTGTTATGGGAGCTGGGCATGAAAGATGATATATATAATATGGATTCCCAGGGCCCTGTTGAGGAGTTGTTCATGGTAGGAATGAGAAATCTGGTGCTCCACATAGCTCCCCCAACTCTCTTTATATGTAGAGTGACTGTTCTTGCCCCGTTTTCAGATTTCCTGCTGGTGTTGGAGAATTGTTTGGTCCTGTGCGTGGTAAGACTGCCTCCTTGAGGAACCGGAAAGCAGTTGGACTACTGTTAAATGCAGTGTAATATACTAATACTGTTCTCTATATATATAATATATATATATAATATATATATTATATATATATTGCTGTGTAATACTACTGCTGTTATATAGAGGAAAAAAAAAAACACCTCCATAAACCAGTAGTTAGATCTACTAGCCTGATTAGATTCAGGTTAAACTTTTTGAAAAAAAAAAAAACTATAAACAGGCAATGCTGTGTACTTTCCATCATGTTACTTCAAGAGGATGTGATGTCTTGTTGTCTTTCTATGTCAAGATTAATTAGCAGCTATTGTCAAACTGACCTATTGTAACTCCGGGGAGAGGAAATCCTGGTGCAAAATACCTAGCTGAAACGGAAATTAGTCAAAAGGAAGAAATAAAGTTTAAATCCCGTTTATTGCTTACAAACTGCAGTCTGGGGGCCATCTCTTTCCGGCTCAGCAGAAGCAAGTGAAACCTCCCCCCAACCTCTTGGTTCAGATAAGCCCTCGGTCGCCCAGGTAATTACCCACTGATATGGAGATGATCTACTGCTCTCCACCCCTGAGGAACACCTGTTGATACGGAGATACACTGAAGCCAGGCGAGAGATTCTGGAATATTACCATTTTATTCATACCTATTCATTCTAAAACTCTAAGGGTTCTGTGCTAGACAGGGTGTTTGGACCAGGCTTTCTAAGGAAGCAACTGTTACCTAAAGATGAAACAGAGCCAGCCATGCAGAGAAGGGGAAGAGGGCAGCAGGCGGGAGCCCTGAGGAGAGGAGACCGCCACACACCCAGTCACCCCAGTCAGGGTCAGCAGGGCTTTTCTTTCCACTCCCCACTACTCCCCACATCTACCAGACTCCAGAAGGTGAAAGCAGAGAACCACCTGTCTAGAGGTGTCAGGAACCAGTGACACTTTTCAAGGGCGGGTGGCCACAGGTACGTAACTTTGCTCTCCTGAAAATGCTTAAGCACGGGACTATTTTGACTGAGACTCAGAGACGTAGGAGAGAAAACAACCTGGTCTCCTCCATAACACAAACCAACCAACCATGTTATTGGACATGGCAGAAAGGGGTGCCTTAGGGTACAACTTATTTGCTCAAATAATGTACTATTTACCTTCTCTGGAAAGTTCTCACCAGCTTTAGAATAGTTGAGGTTTGATTTTCTTTTATGTAAAGAGTATCACAACTTAACCTCACAGGGTTGTGTCAAAGCGGGACAGTAGTTAGAACGGTAGGGATAGATTGTAATCAGTATACGCTACTGCAGTGGGGCAGAGTCCAGGGTGAACTGAACTCAGCTCCTGTTTACACAGAGGTGACTGGGTTTTTCAAAGAGAGGATGGGGGGACAGGGAGGAGGTAAGTGGGACCTCAGTAGAGACAGGGAAGTGAAAATTACAAAAAAGCAAGAAGTGGGGTTTGGTCCCCGGGAAACCCACCTGTGTTTGCTAACTGGAGCTTAATGAAGTTGGACTCCATCCCTCCCACAGACTGGGAGACAGGGACCCTATATCTAGGTGTTGTATGGAACAAGCAGTAACATTTTTTGACAACCTGAAGTTTCCTGAGGCAGGCACTTTAATAGGGGAGTAGGGTTGGCCTTGAGCTGTTAGAAACTATGTTAGGGTTTGTTCAGTTCTTTATAGACCCAGGTTGACAGGCCTAGTCAAGAAGAAGGTTCAGAGGAGCCTACCTAGAGTATAGTCAAAGAGAGACTTCTTGTCAGTTGTTACGAGTTATCAACAAATTTCTCTGGAAAACAGGAACTATACTCAAGGAGAGCCATATTGCATCAAAGCATTTTGCAAACTGGAGAGACACAGCCTTTGGTACAAATTGAAAGTGTGTTTCTAGGGAAGGGGAAGTGGGGAAGTTTTGTTGAAGTCAAAAACTGCAAACTCAGGCAATTTTATCTGCTGGACCACTTTGCTAAGCTTAACCACAAGCCCTCCCCAGTGGTCTGTTAGAGGCTTTTTACCCTTTTTTTTTTTTCATTGTATCAGAACTGAAGGCATATAAAGGTCTTGTAGTTTTCCTGAGAATGGACAGAGCATGTGTGGGACTCACATCAGCAAATGGATGCTTGGCTCCATACAGTTTCAGTGCTCAGTTCATCCAGGTCCATCATGTTCTCTGTAAGACACTTATGGTCAGAATTTAGGGCAGGTTCAGAGTATTAAATGAGATACTGTGAAAGGGCGTAGAGGACCAATAACACATTAATATCAGTTGACACATTTACTCATATAACCAATAATAGCCCTTCTTCTCCTTTAAAATGGTTATTAAAATTCTTCCCTATACTGAGCTCCAGCTAATAAACATCTTGCCACTCAGAAGTAACACCTACTATGCTCCATGCTAGGTTCTTTAGGTACATTAAAACATTTCCTCCAAACAACACTATTAGGAAATAATTATTTTACAGAAGAAGCTTAAATAGGTATTCGACCAAGGTCACACAGCCAGTGAAAGGCGTAGGTCAGATTCACATTCAACTCTGGTGATTGTTACCTGGTTCCATTAAACAGGAAACTCCTCTCACCTTTCAAGTGGTTCAATTAAAAAGAAAATCAATTTATTCTTAACACACTGGACGTGTTCGTTGTGCGTAAGTTTTTTTTGTGAGAATCTTTTAATACGTATGAGATCCCATTCTAACAAGAGACTAAGATTAGAAAGCCAAGGGTCAAGTTATACACCTTTTGGTATAGGAAATATTTCTTTGGCATCATTACTTGTCGTAGCAAGATATTTAAGCCATTCCACCTGTCCTCAGGGAACTAGGGAACAGGACTCGGAATAGCAAATGCTAGACTGTGCAGCCCAGGTAAGACATTGACCGTGAGTCAGGGAAGTTGGAGGAAGTAGCAAGGATGATTAGGGCTGAGCTGGATCTTAAGGGATCAGTAGGATATTGATACTGAGAAGGAAACAGGGGCAATCTAGGTCCGAAGGTGGGGAGCAATCTAGGGCAGAGGAGTAGTGGTGTTACCTAGGATTAGACATGGGAACAGGAGTAGGTCGTTGTGTTAAGTGAAACCAGCCAAGCGGAGAAAGAAGTACCATGTGATCTCACTTATATATGGAATCTAAAAACAAAACAAAACAAAATGGACAAAACAGAGGTAGGCTCATAGACACTGAGAAGTGACTGGTGGTTACCATGGGGGAAGGACTGGGGTGGGTGGGTGCGCTAGTGAGGAGGATTAGGGGTAAAAAAAATCTCAATAATAATATAAATTGGTCACGGAGATGGAAAGAATATAGTCAATGGTTCTCTAACAACTTTCTTTGTCGAGAGTCATTACACTAGTTGGGGTGAGGATTTAGTAATGTGTGTAACTGTTGAATCGCTGTGTTATATACTTGCAATCAACATTGCATATCAACTACACTTCAGTTTTTTAAAAAAAGGAATCGGAATAGGGAGTCAAAGTGTTGGAATGTAAAAAGCCATTAATGAACTGTGCCTTCCCAGGTGTGCTTGCTTCACAGGCGACAGAGAACCACCCAACCGCTAAAACCAGAAAAGCTCGACGCACCCAAGCCTCACATATGACCTACTTTTAACTCATTATGCCCTCTTTGTAAAAGTAAAAATCCCGCCGGGTGGAGAGAGTTGAACCTTACTAGGCAGGTTCTGAGCCAAGTACAGAAAACTAGAGGAACTGCGCATGCTCCAGGGGCTCCTGAATCCCGCCGCTTTTCTCACCGGGGTGGGGCGCCTTCCAGCCTACCATTCATCCAACCCGATGGCCTTAAAACTAGAATCGAGTCCTCCCTTCAGGGAGACGCTACTCTGAGAAGTCCCCAGTACCCTCCCTACTTGTGCCAACTAGTAAAACTTGTACCTAGCCGAACCGTGCTTGGTGTGACTGTGGCTAAAACTCAGAGAGGCGGACCCGTTGTGTCTGGTTAAAGAGGTTATATATTTCAAAATCAGTGGGTACACAGAGCTTAAGAGACCAAGAGTCCTGTGCATCAGCTAACATCATAGAAGAACGCTGTCTCGGAGTTGAAACGTCTGAAGGTAAGTATGGCTGGCGGACGAGCGGTAAACGGTGACCCACGCGAGCCGTCCTGGCGCCCCTTGGCGGGCCTCTCCGGTACCACTCCGAAACCACCACTTTCAGCGACATAACCGTTTGCCTGTCTATAATGCCCCCCAGACTGTGATACCTGAGGGGGCGCGGCGCTGAGACCCTCGTTCCTCACAAAGACGGCTAGGGGCGGGGTTGGCGCCGACGCCGGCGCAAGCGCTCTGAGTCTCTCCGAAAACAGGGCCGTTGCCCCGCCTTCTGGCTCAAAGAGGGCAGAGAGACGCATGCGTCATGAGGACTCGCGGGACTTATTTTACGGGGCGGGCGGCGGTGACGTAATGACAGGAGGAGGCGATCAAGGAACGGAAGCCGGGAGGGAACTAGGGCGGAAGGGGAACAGGACCAGGCTTGTGTTCGGTACCTCGGCGAGGCTGGGGTTCCGATGTGGTCCCCGGAGCGGGAGGCCGAGGCCCTGGCCGGGAGAGACCCGGCAGGCCTGCTGCCCCCCGAGTGGGAGGAGGATGAGGAGCGCATGTCCTTCCTGTTCTCCGCCTTCAAAAGGAGTCGCGAGGTGAACAGCACCGACTGGGACAGCAAGATGGGCTTCTGGGCGCCGCTGGTGCTGAGCCACAGCCGCCGCCAGGGGGTGGTGCGCCTGCGTCTGCGGGACTTGCAGGAGGCCTTTCAGCGCAAGGGCAGCGTCCCGCTGGGGCTGGCCACCGTGCTGCAGGACCTGCTACGGTGAGGGCGGGCCCGGGCCGGGGCGGCGCCCTGAGGGCAGGGGCCGGGCGGCTCTGACAGCGCACCACGCCCAGCCCAGGGTCTGGCCCAGAGGAGCGGGTCTGTGTGTGTTCAATAGGCGCAGGAGAAGAAAAGACGGAGGCAGGGTTAGGGGTGTTTGGAGGACGAGGGACGCGGACTGGGGGAAATTGGTGGGTCGGGATAGTCCGGTTAGATGAGATCCAGAAGGCACAGAGAGAGGCCAGCCTGGTGGAGGTGACAGTGATTTGTGTGGAGTGGAATTCCATTATGCAGTTATTTCGTAGGGGCTTCCAAATTTGAACTACCCTGGAACAGAAGGTCTATGAGGTAGGATTTATTGAACTAAGTAGGTCAGAGCTAAGTAAGTGTAAGCAGTCGTGGGGAAGACGCCTGTTAGGATCTTGCCAGCAGCGCCTAGCACAGGTCAGGTGTCTGGCCCATCGTGGCTTGTCCTTGACACAGGCTGGAGCAGAGTACATGAAGGAGGTTGAGGGCTTTACTGAATATCTTGGTGCGCTGAGAAGGTTCTGTAGGTATTACTTGTGCGACAGGTGCAGGGTTTGGAGATTCCTGAGGCAGTAACATGGATGTCTAAGAGATGGACAGTACTTAACAGTACACAGATACTTTGCACACACCATCTCATCTGACTCCCTCAGCAGTGGGCAAATTGGTAGAATTATCCTCAGCAGACAGAAGGAAACTGAGCATCTGAGATGTCAAGTGGCTGACTTGGGGTTACACAGCTAGTTAGAAGTAATGCCAGGACTGGATCCCTGGTTTTCTGATTCTAAATCATTTGCACTCCGTGTTGTACATATGATGCTGAGAGGAGCCTGGATAACAGTGCCTCCCTCCGTGAATGAAGAAATCAACGTTGAGATGTTGCTTTTGGCTTGCTGCTTTTCCTGATTAAGAGGTCTCCCTTCTCAGTACCTTTCCACTGGCTGACATTGGTGGGACAAGCCCTTTTTGAACCTCTCTTTTCTGAGAATGTGTACTGTGGACAAAGTTTTAGTTCATGCCTGAAGTGGGGCGCAAGGGGAGACAATAGCTGAAGAAGTCAGTGAGAGACGAGAACAGCTTTGGGCTTCCTTACTGCAGCACAACTATGCCCTATCTCTTCCCATCTGGAGACCTTTAATACCTCAGTTTCTCCTCTCCTGACTGCTGGCACCTTACTGACGCTTCCTGGTGCTTGACAGGGACTGGTACCTGAACAATTTCTGAAGGAGATATTTCTCCATGGAAACAGGAACATAGTGGTGGACAGCTTTGCTTGATGGCCAGATGGCCTGGCTCAAATCCTGCCAATACCACTTGCTAAATTGTGTGATTATGGACAAATTATGTGCACCTTTTAAAGGCACAGTTTGACCAATTATAAAATGCTGATGATAATTGTACTTAGATCTATTGTGAGGATTTAAGGAGATATCCTCATGGAGCCCTTAGCATGTAGTGACTGGTGCATGGCAAGCATTCAGTTAATGTAGCTACTTCATTTCCAGTGCCGTAAAATGCTTATGTCATCTCCACCTTAACTTAGGAACAGCAGAAAACCCTTCCTGTGAATGTCTTTGTATATTTCCTTATGTCTTGCACTTGACAGTAATCCATTATTGTTATTTTTCTCTATTATTTTGAGCTCTGTTTGTAAAAAGAAGTCCCAACATAGGCCTGTAGCCTCTTGTGCCTGTGTAGTTTTAGAGGAAAGCTTATGTTTTGGAGCCAAATTATACCTTAGATTGGCCTCTCTCACCTCAGTTTTCTCATTAACGAAAATGCTGGTAACACCATTTTATCTTGTAGAGTTGTGAGAGCTGGAGCATTAACAGCGCTGTTCATAGTACCTGGCACGGAGTGGGTGCCTAGTAATGTGTTTATGATGATGATGAAATTTCTCTCTGGGGTAGGGGGAGGTGAGGCCAGGAACGGGACATTGCATTAAGCCTGTTATGTGCCCTTTTTTTTTGCCTGCAGTCGAGGGGAGCTGCAGCGGGAGTCAGACTTCATGGCCAGTGTAGACAGCAGCTGGATCTCCTGGGGGGTTGGCGTCTTCCTGCTGAAGCCCCTCAAGTGGACTCTTTCCAACATGCTGGGGGATAATAAGGTTCCCGCAGAAGAGGTGCTCGTAGCTGTGGAGCTGCTTAAGGTGGGTGCTCAAAGGCAGAGGTCTCGTGTCATCTGGTGTGGTGACAGGCTCCTGCAAAGCCTCGTGTGGCCCTGTTGAAAAAATCTTTATATGGTGACAGAGTTGATAACTGAGTTTATCTGACCTCTCTTATACTGTACTTTGTAGCATTATTGAGTTGTTAGCTGGTCTTGTACATTTCAAAGGTAATCTTCCATCTAGGAATTATCAGTAACATATGGTTGATTGTTTTCCATATTTGTAGGGATTAGTAATCAGCTAAAGTTTAGAAAATGCTTTGCCATCTGTAGTTTTCTGACAAGAATGACTCTGGATTTCTGAGGATCTTGTGACTTTCAGCTTTGTGTTGCCCCTAAATCAGCAAACTGGGTTCAGATGCCCTCCTCTCTGGCTGTGACCCTTTCCCCTTCCAGTTCACTGATGGCCTTACTTCCATGGGCAAGGCCGCCGGGCCCAACGCCTTCACGCTCTCCTGTCAGTTAGCTTCCCCCCGGCCTGCCTCCCCTGCCCAGCCTGGAGCCTGTGCTCGCGCTGACCGCCTTCCTGCCCGATACCTCGGTGCCCTTGCAGCTCTCTCGTCCACACCGGAGACACCAGCAAATCCACCACCTTAGCGCAGTCCCATGGTCTGTCATCCCTGCTGGGGAGAGTAGCCTTGTCACCAAGCCTGGGGCCCCTTTCACAGTCCCTAGCTCTAGGAAGTCCCTCAGTGCCACTCCACAGCCCGGTGTTCTCATCCTCTCCCTGCCCCCTTGCAACTCACTGCAAACGCTTCATGGAGAAAGTCTAAGTCGTGCCACAGCTTTCTGCCTGTGTTCCCGTGAGCCGCTTCTGGGCCTTTCTTTCCAAGCTCAGTGTCCTTCCTTTATTCCACATGTGCTCTTGAGTCTGTCCCCACCTTGCTTGTGCCCGTGTCCTATCCGTTAGCCTCTTGATCTGTATATTCCATTTCCCTCTCTTTCGTGCTCTTCTTCTGCAGCCTCTGAACCCACTAAACCCACCCTGGTTTTTCCCGTTGTAGAATCACTCCTCTGCGGCCCCAGGCCCCTGCCTAGTCGCTTCTCGGTCCGTCTCCTCAACCACAATTTGTCGTCACCCCTTGCTCACCTCCCACACACTAGCCCAGTGCAGACCTGCATCAGCCCCACCAAAGCTGCCTTAGACCAGGTTATAGCAGCTCTTCAGAGTGGGTGCGGGTGTGGGTGTGGGTGTGTTTACAAAGGTGGCTGAGCACAACCTCAGGGCCCTTGCATAGCCCTGGAGACTTCTACCCAGTTGCAGTCAGCTCAGAATCCCTATTGCCCCCCTCAGGAGAAGCTCCAGTTTCTCCCAAGCCTGACAGACCCCAGCTCTCTCTTCCTCAGACTGAGGAGGAACTCTCCAAAATCTACCACACTGTCTCCCAGGGTTTTTGACTGAGCAGCACACTTTTCTTCGGGGGAAGGCCCCCTTCCCAACACCCGCCGCCCCCACCCCCCCCTTATGGTTATCCTTCCATCTGGTGCTCTGACCTCCAGGGCTCAGCCAGGGTCCGGCAGGAACCACTGGGTGGTTCTGGGCCAAACTCCGTTCCTCTTTGCAGGCACGTGGTTTCCAAGCTGGAGCAAAGGGAGGCAGATCCGTTTGTCCCCACAGATGGGGTTTCAGCCTCACAGTGTTTTGAGAGCAAAGGCAGAGATGGGGTGGGAGCGGAATTACATAGATCTTCCAAGAACCGGTAATGATTTTTGACCACAATATAGTCTAATCTTGTTTAGGTAGGAAAAATACAGGCATACAACCATTTATTGTACTTTGCAGATACTGCAGTTTTTACAAGTTTAAGGTTTGTGGCGACTCTGCATTGAGCAAATCAGTCGGCACTATTTTTCCAACACTTGCTCTGGTGTCTCTCTATCACATTTTGATGATTCTTTCAATATTTAAACTTTCTCATTATTGTTACATTTGTTGTGCTGATCTGTGATCAGTGGTCTTTGATGTTACCCTCGTACTTACTTTGGGGTGCCACAAACCATGCCCATAAAAGATGGTGAACTTAGTCAGTAACTGTGTGTTCTGACCACCCCACCAACCAGCCATTCCCCAGCTCTCCCCCTCTCCCTGGGCCTCCATACTCCCGGGGACACAACACTGAAACTAGGCCCGTTGGTAACTCTACAGTGGCCTCTAGTGTTCAAGTAAAAGGAGGCGTCTCCTGTTTCTCACTTAAAGTCAGAAGCTAGGAATAATTAAGCTTAATAAGGAAGGCAGGTGGACAGCTGAAATAGGCCAAAAGCCAGTCCTCTTGCCTCGGTAGGCCAAGTTGTGAGGCAAAGGAAAAGCCCTTGAAGGAAATCGAAAGGGATACTGCAGTGAACACACCAATGATAAGAAAGTGGGACAACTTTATTGCTGACATGGAGAAAGTTGGAGTGGTCTGGATAGAAGATCAAACCAGCCACAATATTGCCTGAAGCCAAAGCCTGATCCAGAGGTAGCCCCTGACTCTCTTCAACTCTGTGAAGGCTGAGTGAGGGGAGGAAGCTGCAGAGAGGAGTTTGAAGCTAGCAGAGGTTGTTCATGAGGTTTAAGGGAAGAAGCCATCTCTGTAACAAAAGTACAGGTGAAGCAGCAGGTTACTTAGATGATCTGGTTAAGGAAATTAATGAAGGTGCTACACTAAACAACAGAGTTTCAGTGTAGATGGAACAGCCTTCTATTGGAAGAAGATGCCATCTAGAACTTCATAGCTAGAGAGAAGTCAGTGCCTGGCTGTAAAGCTTCAAAGGACAGGCTGACTGTCTAGTTAGGGGCTAAAGCAGCTGGTGACTTTAAGTTGAAGCCAGTGCTCACTGACTATTCTGAAAATCCTGGGGCCCTTAAGAATGATGCTAAGTCTGCTCTCCTGTGCTCTATAAATGGAACATCAGAGCCTGGGAGACAGCACATCTGTTTCCAACACAGTGTACTGAATATTTTAAGCCCACTGTTGAGACCTACTGCTCTGAAAAAAGGTTCGTATTACACAATATGACTGCTCATTGACAGCGCACCTGGTCACCCAAGAGCTCTGATGGAAATGGACAGTGAGATGAAGGTTGTTTTCAGTGCCTGCTACACATCGTTCTGCAGCCCAAGGATGCAGTAGTGATTTTGACTTTCAAGTGCCGTTATTGAAATATGTTTCATTAGGCTTACAGCTGCAGTTGACAGTGATTCCTCTGATGGATCTGGGCACAGCAAATTGAAAACCTGGAAAGGATTCACCATTCTAGATGCCGTTAAAAATGTTCACAATTCATGGGAAGGAGTCCAAATATCCGCATTAAAGAGGAGTTTGGAAGAAGTTAATTCCAACCCTCATGATGACCTTGAGGGGTTTACGGCTTGAGTGAAGGAAGTAACTGCAGGTTTAGAAACAGCAGGAGAACCGGAGTCAGAAGTGGACTGAAGATGTGACTGAATTGCTGCAGTCTTATTATAACACTTGAACGAATGAGGAGTTAACTTCTTATGGAGGAGCAAAGAAAAGTGGTTTCCTGAGGCGGAATCTGCTCCTGGTGGAGATACAGTGAAGACTGTTGAAGTGAAAACAAAGACTTTAGCATCTTACATAGACTTCGCTGATGATGCAGCAGCAGGGTCTGACGGGATTAACTCTAATTTTGAAAGAAGTTCTGCTGTGGGTAAAATGCTACAAAACAGCATGACATGCTTCAGAGAAACCGTTTGTGAGATATAGAGTCGATTGAGGGAGCAGACTTCATCGTTGCCTTATTTTAAGAAACTGCCACAGCCACCCCAACCTTCGGCAGTCACCACCCTGATCAGTCAGCCACCGTCAGCATTGAGGGGAGACCTTTCACCAGCCAAAGGTTATGACTTGCCGGAAGCTCAGATGATGGTTAGCCTTTTTTAGTAATCAGGTATTTTTTTTTTTTTTGAGAGGGCATCTCTCATATTTATTGATCAAATGGTTGTTAACAACAATAAAATTCTGTATAGGGGAGTCAGTGCTCAATGCACAATCATTAATCCATCTCAAGCCTAATTCTCGTCAGTCTCCAATCTTCAGTAATCAGGTATTTTTTAACTAAGGTTTGTACATTGATTTTGTAGACATAATGCTAGTGCACACTTACTTAATAGACTTCAGTATAATGTAAACATAACTTTTATGTGGACTGGGAAACCAAAACACTCATTTGTCTTGCTTTATTGTGATATATTCTTTATTATGGTGATCTGGCCCCACAATATCTCTGAGGTCTGCCTATAAAGCTTCTAGCTCTGCAGGAGCATGGTAATGTGACATTTATGTCCAGTTTGTGTCACTAAACAGAACACTGAACACTTAATCTCATTTGGTGACATCTGTTTTCAAATATGTGGTAACATCACTTTTTCTGCTGGGATAGAGACTTGTTTTGTTTTTTTTACAAAACAAAGCCTACTTCTGAGGTAAATTGATTTTCCCAAGTCTAGACACAGAAAACTTCCAGTAACTTTTTATTTGAAAAAAAAAAAACCAGAAAGTAAAAATTGCCCAAAGATTTTGCTATTTTAAAAAAACATTACACAAAGAAAAATGAAAGTTTTCTTTGTGTTCATCCCCTTTCTGTCTGTGGATATGTTCCCTTCTCAATTGTGTATGGTGTGTGTGTTTACAAACATCTTTGCTTATTAACCTTGTCCTACACTATTACATTGCTTTCCATTAACCTTGTCCCACACTATTATATTGCTTTCCTTTTATTTTCTTTTTAGCATTTAGTGCTTTTTAGTATCTGTCTCTTCTACCAAAAGAGAGAAGTTCTGTGGGCCTTAGGGCCTCGGGAATTGTGCCTGGTACATAGTAGAGAATCAGTAAATATTTAATGAATAAAGAAATGAATATACACATACTTACATAGATATGTATAAACACACACTCCATTTTTTTTCCCTGAAATGGAGTCTTATTTTACCTGTTGTTCTGTAGCCTGCTTATTTTTCTTTACATTTTAATATGTCATGAATGTATCCTCTGTACCCCACACAGTATAGGTCTATGTCATTCTTTTGGATGGCTGCATAATGCTCTGTAGATAAGCTACAATTCATGCAATCATTGCCACATAGACATTTGTCATTCCAATTTCTTTCTGTTACAAAAAAAATACTTCTTTGTACGTCTTGTATATATATCAGTGTACTTCAACTTTTATTTTTATGGAATTGATTTATAGAAATGCATATGTACGTTCTAAATTTTTGTAGATATTGCCAAATTACTTTTCAAAAGTTTGTACTAATTTAGACTTTCATCAAGACTACATTAAAATGTCCAGACTTCCCACATGCTTGCTGGCACTGCATGTCAGTCTTTTAAATTTTGACAATTTGATGAACAAAAATGATAACTTCTGATTTGTGACTTGAGCATCTTTTCGCCTGTATGCTGGCTATTCTGTCACCTTCTATGAATTGCCTGTTGATATTCTTTGCCTGTTTTTATATTGGATTGTTAACCTCTTGTATTAGTTTATAGGAGCTCTTTGTGTTTTAGAGAGAGATATATATAGTATGTTTAGTATTTAGGATGTAAGGATTGTTTCCCAGTCTCTTGTTTGCTTTTCATTTTATTTATGATGTCTTTTACCACAGGGAAGTTTTCATATTTCTGTAGTAGATCTCTCATTTTCCTTTATGGCTACTGAATTTCTGGTCTTGATTAGGGGTATCCTGTACTTCAAGGTTAATCAGATTTTTAAAAATATTTTCTTTGAGAATGGAATCAGAGGTCATCTCATATGCCTTCTTCAGTCTGTAAGAGGGACAGCAAGGACCAGGGAGACTGACTGGCCCAGGGTCTCTCAGGCTGGGCTGAAAACCAGGCCACCGCTCTCATCTATGGCCATTCCACCGCACTGCACCAACTCGTTCTTCCCTTGGGGAACCATGGGCCAGGACACGCAGAAACATAAAGTCCCAGGAGGGAGTGCAAGCAGAGCCAGCTCCCAGGATATTACGCACCTCACTTCATCCTTACCCACCAAACTTCCCTGCAGGGTTTGAAAACACACAAATCCCTTTCCCCTTCCCAAAGCCTCTGCTTTAGGGAAGACGTGCTCAGGGCTCCGCTCCTGCCTTATGTGATCGTGGTTTGGAAGCACAGGACCTGGGCTCACTAGGTTCCATGGGCTGTGGTCAGGGCTTGTAAGCACATTTTGCCTTCCCCGCAGGAGAAGGCTGAGGAGGTGTACCGTCTGTACCAGAACTCCCCTCTGTCCTCCCACCCTGTGGTGGCCCTGTCGGAGCTGAGCACCCTCTGCGCGGGCTCCTGTCCGGACGAGAGGACCTTCTACCTGGTGTTACTGCAGCTGCAGAAGGAGAAGAGAGTCACAGTCCTCGAGCAGAATGGGGAAAAGGTATGACTCACCGATGACTTACTGAACATCACTGACAGAGCTCCCAGCAGTCCTACCTGGGGGGCATTCTCAGCATTTCTGGTAGGGGCAGCAGCAATTTGTCCCTGTCCCTCAGATTGTGAAGTTCGCCCGGGGCCCACATGCCAAGGTCTCTCCTGTCAACGACGTCGATGTTGGGGTGTACCAGCTGATGCAGAGTGAACAGCTGCTCTCGTGCAAGGTGGAGTCCTTATCCCAGGAAGCAGAGAGGTAATGACCCCTGACCAGCACCCCGCCCCGCCCCCACTGGCCCTCAGCCAGCAAAGCTTTGGTGTGTGTAGGCTCTTTAGAAAAAAGGTAACTGTTTTACCAATTATAAAAGTACTAATTGCTCAGTGCAGCAATCGTGGAAGCACAGAATATCACAAAGGAGAAAAGAATCTAACTCCTCCCCAGAGATATGACTGTCACCGTTTGTTTATGCTCTTCCATACTGGTATCTTTTTAACCAGTGTTCCTGAGCCCAGCCTTGTCTCAGGGACTTGGGGATACAGTAGAGGACAAGACAAGTCTGCTTTCCCAGGGTGCTTTGGGGGGACTCCTCCTGTTCCCTTTGGATGACTATACAAGGCACATGAACACTTCTCCAAAAAGCAGGACATACAGACATTGACTTAAAAATGGACTTGTTTGCTCCATCTTACAGTGGGAGAAACCCTCCGTTGTCAGAAGGCCCGGGGACTTGCCCAAGGTCATTGTTGGTCTTAGGGATTGATACCTGGCTCCTGGCTCCCCAGACGGGAGTCTGTCGTAAGGTGCCTGCGGGCAGGTCCTCTCTCCCTGTGGGTGGGAACAACTTTTCCCGGTGAGTTTGCCGCAAGGCCCCAGCTTACATCTCAGCTCGCTGCAGGAGTTCGGCTGTGGGCTCTCAGGCACCCTTCTCACCCTTGGATGCAATGGATCTGATCTTCACTCTCAAAAGCACCTTAACCAAGTGCTACTGTTGGGGACTCTTTGGGACCCTGCTGTGGGGCAGTCACTGTGATCTGTCCCTCTGTTTGACAGGTGTAAAGAAGAGGCCCGCCGGGCATGCCGAGCAGGAAAGAAACAGCTGGTGAGTTTTCCCTTTTTCCCTTCCAGCTGTGTACCTGTGCCCAGGGCTGGCAGTGAGAGGTGCCCCAGCAGTTCAGAGAGGAGCTGGGAATCATGGGGACTGGCCTGCAGGTGGCCCTGCACCACAGCTTCCTTTACAAACGAGAAGGAAAGAGGCCTGGCGTGGTCCTACCATCTGGGAAGGGCTCTTGCCTCAGGCCCTTTGGCCTGCCCCATCTGAGCCTGACCACATCTCCCTCCCACCCCAGGCGCTGAGGTCCCTCAAGGCCAAGCAACGGACGGAGAAGCGCATTGAGGCCCTGCATGCCAAGCTGGACACTGTGCAAGGCATCCTGGACCGGATCTATGCCTCGCAGACGGACCAGATGGTAGCTGTTGCCCTCTGCTCCAGTACTCGGCTGGTCCCTCTGGCACACACTTCTCTCCTGCATTGGGGTTTCGCTGTTTGGATGAGGCCTGGGTTCTTTCACAATATGGTTGGGATTGCGTTTGCTTCTCCTGTTGGGAAGTTCTGGCCTCAGTGGACATGGGATGAATAAAAAAAACCCAAATTTACTCTTTGGAAATGAAACAATATTGTGTGCGTTTTGCCCAGTGTTCTTCATCTGCACTGATAACTTGCTTTCTCTTCAGGTTTTCAACGCGTACCAGGCGGGCGTAGGAGCGCTCAGGCTCTCGATGAAGGATGTCACCGTGGAGAAGGCAGAGAGCCTTGTGGATCAGATCCAGGAGGTACAGGAGGGGCCGTGGCAGGACACTTCACGAAGGAGGCGTGGAGCACTGTGGGACTTGTCCTTCCTCTTTTCCCAAACTAGACTCTTTACCCGATGACTGTGAGGAAGCTTCCCCAGAGACACCATTCAGAGTTCGGGGCCTTGTGCTTTTGTCTTACAGCTGTGTGACACCCAGGACGAAGTTTCTCAGACTCTGGCTGGCGGGGTAGCCAATGGCTTAGGTGAGTTGGCAGGTGTTGCTTCCTGCCTGCCTGCCTGTCCGCCTGTCCAGAGGAGACTTGGCCTCCTGGGCTCTGAAGGCTGGATGAGGGGTGTGCTCTCGCTGGTGCCAGGCCTCTCGCTGGTGCCAGGCCTCTCTCTGGGCTGATCCACGGGCGTAGTTAGAAGGAACTGCTGTTTCCTCCGTGACAGGCTGTATTAGTGACCCCTCTGTGCTCCAGTGTTCTCACTCGCTAGGCACTTGGGGGGAAGATCCTTCTTCAGGGGTCAGGAGATGAAGGCTTAGTCCCCTGATGTTAGCAAAATATACCTCCTTAATGACTTAGCTCTCGTATAGAAAAGGAGTATTTGCTTGAAGGTGCCCTCTGCCTCCCAATGCAAGATTTTTTTAACTCGCAAGGAGGCTGGGGGACTTCCGTGAAGAGGAGCTGGCTTTACTGTCCTCAGCCCTGGACTCATTGATGCATTTCCCTCTGGGTTTGATACGATATGTCCTCAGGCCGTCTCTTCCTTCCAGATTTTGACAGTGAGGAGCTGGAGAAGGAATTGGACATCCTTCTTCAAGACACCACCAAAGAACCCCTGGACCTGCCTGAGAGGCATCATACCGATGGAGTGTCTGGCCACAGGGTCTCAGACGCTGAACTTGAAGCTGAACTTGAGAAACTGTCCTTATCAGAGGGAGGTATGGAGCTGTATTCCCAGGGTTGCTGGTGGGCATGGGCCCCCCCCCACCCCCCGGCTGACAGTGGCCAGGCACAGGGCTGCTAAGTCCCAGCCCAGGTTTCCCATTTGCCAGGGCACCAAAGCGCAGAAGGGGAGTCATGGGCTCATTACTTATGTTAAGACTCAGTCCCTTAAATGGCAGGGTGCTTCCATCCAACAGATCTGCCCAGGGTAGTATTCAGTCATCTCTTCTTGCAGGTTTGGTCCCAAGCAGTAAATCTCCAAAAAGGCAGTTGGAACCGACACTCTAAAGCCATCATAGGACCCTCGAGGGAAGGACCCTCATGTGAAAGAGAGACTAGACTTGTGTGTGTACATAGTTATTTAAATGAGAAGCTCTCAAAATTTGTTGGGGATGAGGAGGAAGGAGAACTACTCTGATTTATCTGGATACAGCCACTTACTACAGGACAATAGGATTCCGGGAGGCGTGCTCCCAAGGCCTGCTCCCAGCCGGCGCCGTGGACCTGCCTTCTCACCTTTAGTGCCACCGTTTGTCCAGTTCTGTGTGTGACCTGTCGTCTCTCATAGCCTGCAGTTCTTGCCATTGGCTCAGTTAGGTTTGTCTTCACCCACCAGCTTTGTTCCAGCCAACGAAGGTGGAAAATTTGCCAAATCAAACAGTGTCCTTTTCCCCCATGTCCACTGTGTTGTAGAGGAACCGACTCTGAGGTCAGCTGAACGACTTGTTCCGGTTTTCCTCTGTCTCCAGTGATACTGAGAAGAACGAGAACCACATAGCTGTCGCTTTATGGAGATACATACAGTGTAAACGATTTTTCTCGGGGGTCATTTGTCACATTCTCCAGGTGTTCCAAAAGAGATGTTATCCCCACAGGGCTCAGCGCCATGACAGTTGGAGGATGCAGTGTCTCTTCCATTTCATGCAGAGAAAGAGAATGCTGACTGGAGAAAGGGTTATTCTTGGTCTTTGAACTTAATGGGGAGAAGCCCAGGTGGCTGCGGGGCCCCAAGTGTCCAAACCCCATGTGCACATCTTCGCCTGGCCCCCTCCATGGAGTAACGTAAATGTGTCAGAACCAGCCACACAACAGCACACCTCCCCTTGAGCCTGGCACCCAACAGGTTCTTTGTTTGAATTTCAGAAGCATTTACTTTGGAGCCCATTGCTCGGGGCGGGGCATCTGAGCCAGGATGTGCACTAGAAGCAGAAGATTGTGGCCTCCGTCATGCCTGCTGTGTGCTCCCCCGGCCCTGCTCTGCGCCTGCCCCCGCTTCCCAGAGTTCCCTCTTCCTCCTTTGAAGAGTTGGGGAGGATGGTGCCGGGGGCAGACGGGAGAGGGTCTGAATGCTCTGGAAATGGACAAGGGAGATGACAGCCGCACTGCCACTCTGCTGCCGCCGTACAGGTGTTCCTGCCTGGCGCCCTTCGCCCTGGCCTTCCTGCTTGAGGTGCTGTGGAGCAGACGGCAAGAATTTGCTCCAGGCCAGGAGCACGAATCACTGTTCAACAAATTTCTCTCCTACTTGACCTTGGTAAACTGACATGTTGGGGGTGAAGAGAAACAATCACTATTTTTTCTTTTTTATCTGGTAAATAATTAAAAGAAAACACGAATGCTGGTTCTTGACTCTTAAGATTGTGTACAATTTCTTGCCCCCCCCCCCATGTTGCCCCACCCCTACCCCCACAACTTGCACATGTGGGTTCTCTCACCGAAGGCCACAGGAGGCTGTGTAACTTGGTAGTGTGAGTCCCCGGCTGCAGGAAGGCCGCTCGGTGGGAGCGCTCACGCACCAGCACCGCTAATGGCCGCCTTGGCTCTCAGAGCGTATGTCGTCTTGTTCTTTTCCAGTGCCTGTTCTCTATAAATAATCCACCTTCCTCTGCCTGTGGGATCCTTGCATGTTTTAGTCTGGCGCCAGTATTTACCCAGTGCCGGCTACATGCCTGGTGCTTGCCACACCGTGTGTGGAGCTGGGCCCGAGGCCAGTGCAGGTTGAAAACAGGCTGCCGCAGCGCTCAGCCCACAGCTCGGGCTAAGCCAGTGAGAGGAGTTGGGAGCAAGCCCAGAGTGGAAACGGGTTCAATAGGTCAGGTTCTCTGAGGGGTGTGTAGGGAACCCCAGCTGAACAAGTGCCCTGGACTTGGTGAGCCTCTTAGCTGGTGTCCTGTTACTCTTTCTCTTCCTGGCCTGGGCTGCCCAAGAGACCTCCTTTAAATGTTTTGGCCCGGTTCCTTGCTGTGCCACAGGAAATTCAAAGGAAAGGCTGAGTCTGGCTTGGACAGAGTGAGAACACGGAGGGCCGTCGGGTGGCACGTGTCACCGTGTGGCCCCCATGGGGCTGAGTCTTGCATCAGGAAGCTCTCCTGAAGGAATGGACTTGGTTTAAGGGAACTGGTGAGTTTTACACGTGGCAGAACATCAGACCCAGATGAGCAGGCCCACACACTGTCCTGCTGAAAGTGGCGTACCCTTCAGGATAAGGCTCAAGAGTTAAGGGTGTGTAGGGGATGAACTCCAAGTTGGCAGGCCCAGGGGGGCTTCACTGAAGTAATGTCAGCTAACCTCTCATTTCCCTGGATTGTTTCCTTGGGGATTCAAATTTTGTAAAGCAATCTACAAGTTTTAAAGTAGCATCCATGATTCCACTGAGATCAAGTAGTGAGAAAATGCAGCGTATCAGGTAGAGGCTGGTTCTGGTGGAATTAGGAAACCGGGTTCGTAATTGAAGCATTTTATGATTTCTCCACTAGTTGGATGGCTTTGGAAAGACACCTCTCCTTTCTCAGCTACAAGGTAAGCAGCCAAGAATCCTGAAACTGATAGTCATAGTGTCCTTCCATATGGTCAGCTTCTTCCTTCTCAAATTCCTGTTGCCCCGTGACGGAAGCCACAACTCCAAGCCTGGAGAAGTGGCTGCAGAGTTCTCAGTCACTGCTGGCTGGAGACAGCGATGCGGCATGAGGTGTGTGGAGGGCAGGACTGGGGAGAGACGAAGGGTGTGCGCTTGGGGAGAGGGGAGGAAGTGGGGAAGGCACGGCCTCAGAAACTCCCGGGCCTCCCCGAAAGGGGCGCCTCCTCAGATCCCCGGGACCTGCATGGGCCCTGAGGTGGACACCGAGGGTCAGGTACGGGCTAGCTGCACTGCTTCATTACCGCCTGCCCGGGGGCTGAGTCCAGGGCTGGGCGGACCCCTGGAAGAGGTCTTGATACTCTGGTTCCGTCTGCTGGCAATGGAATCAAGGCAATCGGAAGGTGAGAGAGCTACCAAAGCTTTAGACAAGCAAGGCCGCTGAGAGAGCTGCCGACTCACAAGGAACCCAGTGACATCTGCGCGGAGCATAGGATCCCTCTTCTCTTTTGAAGCTTTTTATGATTTCTCCACCAATGTCTTACATTTATTCAAGTTGCAGCTACTCTTTGACAAAAGTGTGGTTTCTTCTCTCACCCTGCATACACGCAAAACACGTGCTGGATGGAGCCTCAGCAAGCGGAGGCAAAGCCTCCGTTTTACAGATGAGAACACTGATTGCCCGAGGTCACGGTGCTGGCAGGGGAATTCCAGTTTTCTGGTATTCTCTGTTACAATGGGCTGCTCTTTAAAGCTGACCCTCAAAACCACACCACTCCGACAGTGTTCGCGGTGGTCGGTGGATGGTGTGCATCAGTAATTTGGGTTGGCAGAGCAGCTCCCTCTGGTCCTCAGTGCTGCAATTACAGGCTTCTATGGGTCAAAAACTGCCTCTTGGGGTACCAGCCGGCCAGTTTCCAGCTTTTAGGGAAAGTAAGGACAGTCTTCACACTGTACCTTTTTGGTTTGCATTTTGTAGCAAATGCATCTGTTGTGCAGAAAAACATCCCAGCCGTGGGCTGCATACCACTTCCTTAGGACCCTCAAAAGATAACCAGTGATGTGATTAGGGGACTCAGTACCCCTCAGAGCACATCATGAACTGCAGCACGGATCAAACTTCAGCTAGTGGATTTCTATCCCTCTGCATGGTACACTGGAGACTGGCTTACTGGGTTGTCACATAATAGGTTAGCCTAGGATAATAGGAACTTTATTTTATACAAATATTTTATATATTTATATATTATAAATATTTGTGTTGTATTCCAAATTATACATGTTGGAAGAAAATTTAGCTATTCAAAACTAACATGGTGGAGTTCTCAACCCAGGAAAGTTAAAGATTAACAGATCCAAATGAGTGTGCCTATTGTGTGGGAGCTAATAAATCAGTGGAAGAAAGAAGTTTTAGACAGGGCCCCTGCCTTCCAGGTACTTCAAAGCCAGAGAAAGAGTGTCTCGGTTGATCTGGGCTATTATAACAAAATACCACAGACTGGGTAGCTTATAAATAACCGACAATTATTTCTTGCAGTTCTGGAAGCTGCCAGTCTGAGATCGGAGTGCTAGCACGGTCTTATTCTGGTGAGAGTCCTCATCTGGGTTGCAGATGGCTGCTTAGAGGCTGTCTCGTGTCTCATGAGGGTGCTAATCCCATTCGTGAGGGCTCCACTCTTACGACCTGATTACCTCCCAAAGGCCCTGCCTCCTAATATCATTACACCGGGGCTTAGGATTTTGGCATATGAATTTCGGGGTCACAAACATTCAGTGCATGTAACAAGGGTAATTCCAGGATGTTAGCACAATGAAGGGTTAGAACAGCACTAAGCATTTGCAGAGCAGTGGTGGGATGGGCCAGGGACAGAATGCCCCATCTTAGTCTCTAACTCCTATTTTAACGCATCAACAACAAACACGAACAACAGCTGACATTCATTGGGTACCTGCTGTCTGCCGGACATGACGTGTTGTGGGCCGGGTTCTCCAGAAGCAGGCCTGGGCACTGACTTTGGAGCCCCCATCTGGGAAAGAAAGGGAGGAAGCAGGTACGGAGGGGAAGAAGTCAGTTTGCAACACAGGCCCCAGAAAGTCTCAGCCACTCTGGTGGGGAATTTTAAAGCAAGGCAGTGATGGCCAGGCCGTTGCCCATCCCCAAACTCCTCCCTCAGTTATCAGGGACCCCTGGAAGGGGGTGACCTCAGTAGAGTGGCTCTGTGGTCGGGGCAGCCCCTAAAGGAACAGCTGACGGCTGGCTGGCTGGTTGCTGGCCACATTCCCTGCAGATGGGCAGCAGGTCCTTGAGGGGAGGCCTGGGTGTGCATCTCTGTGACTGCCAGGCTGTGCCAAGCTCTTTGAATACATTTAATCCTTCCAATGACATGGGTACTGCTGTTTCACAAACAAGCTAACGGAGGCTCAGAAGTTGTAAATGACTTGTCCATGGCTACCAGTGGATGACTGTGATATTGTGACTTATGATAAGACATTGGTCTTCATCCCTGCTTCTGGCACAGAGCTCCTAAAACCCTTGGAATTTATAACAATTTCCTTTCAACCACACCTGAATTTATGTTCACGCAGTAATTTTTGGAAAGCACCTGTGGAAGGGGGCTGATTGCCAGGAAACAATCGTGTGATCAGAGGGTTGGAACTTCCACTCCATCCTTCCCTCCCCCTACCACCCACAGGCCCATGCACATGACCTCCAGAAGATCCCGAGAGGCTGGAGACTGAGTGCAGTCACCCTTGGCTGGTGATGTAATCAATCATGCCTGTGCAATGACGCCTCGGTAAAAACCCAGAAGGACAGGTTTCAGAGAGTTTCCAGGCTGGGGAAACAACGCTTCCACATGCCACCATGCCAGGCCCCAAGCTCCACGAGGACAGAAGCGCCTTTGTTCAGACCTTGCCCTGTGTGTTTCTTCATCTGGCTATTGATTTGTGTCCTTTAATATCCTTGGTACAGTAGCTAGTGAGTGGATGGGTTTCCTGAATTCTGTGAGCAGCACAGCAAATGATTGGAATCCGAGGATGGGGTCATGGGAACCTCTGATTTATTATAGCAGTGGGTCAGAAGCCCGGGTGATTGACATTTGAGATTCACTGGACTTGAGACTGGCCTCTGAAATAGTGTCGGGTAGGGGGTCAGGCCTGTGGGACTGCATCTTTACCCTGTGGGATCTGATGCCATCTCTGGGTAAACTGAGTTTAAGTACAGGACACCCGGCTGGTATCCCAGAATTGCTTGATGGCATGGGAGTCCCTCCCCAACATCCCCACACAGTGGAATGGGGTGTAGAACCCCTTCTAACACAAAGGGGTTTTAGCCAGGTGAATCTGACTTTGCATTTTTCCTTTACTTTTCCTCTTTTTCTATTCTTCCCAACTGGGGCAAGGGTTGGCTGTCACTCTGATCACCTCAGCAGATTTATGAAGCTCATACACATACTTGCCTCTTGTCAACTGACCGCAGCTTTTCTGCAGTTTCATATGCATGATTCCCTTTGATTCTGAGAAGACTGGAAAGGTAACTTCCAAAACTGAATTTGTTTTTGTTTTTCTGTTTACCATGTGCATTTACTAGAGCTCCCTGGGTGCCAGGCCCTTAAAAGAAGGGATCCAGACCTCAGCTGTCTTCACCGGTTTCCAGGATTGGAAGGGAGCTGCTGGCATCCTCTCGGTCACTAACGTGAAGACGCAGGGGAACCGGCGCCTGCCGCCTGCTAATTCTCTGCCACTAACTCTGCAGGCAGGCCTCTCTGGCCTCAGGCTCCCCCAGACCCCTCCCTGGCCTCAAAAACACCATTGTAGCAGGAACACGTTTCTTCTGGTCCTGCCGACTCAGGGAGAGGCCATGTGTTGAGGGAAGAGGTGATCCTTCTAGAAGGGAAGGAAGGCTGCCAGGCTGGAGTCTGGTTGAGTTGGCTGCGGGCCCTAACTCTGCTGACCACACGGGAGGCTGGGGGACAGATAGGGGGACTCAGAGAGGGTGTGAGGGTCCCCAGAGGGCTCTGACAAGCGGGAGGGCTCACGCAGGGCCCGGAGGGAAGGAAGAGAAGGACCCAGGAAGCGGAGGGGCGGGTGGTGGAAGCCGGGCCACGGGGCTTTCCACAGGGGCTTACGGCGCCGCGAGCCCTGGGTGCCAGGCGTGGGAGCTGTCGGGGTAGAGTGTCTGGACGGCTCCTCGGCGACAGGCGGCAGGCAGGACAGAAGGTGCGACCACCTTCAGATCCCCACTCTCCCCGCGCTTCTCCAGCCTGTGTGTGCCCGCCCAGGCTCTTCGTGTGCCCACACACGTCCAGGCGCAGACGCTGGGCCCTGAGCCACTGCTTGCGGCCCCTTCTGGTGCCCTCCTCTGATGCTGGGAGAAGCTGGGGAGGTGCTGACGGAAGCCTTCTGCTCCTGGATAAAATCTGGGACACCAGATTCCCTGTGCTGTGCGGGATCCTGCCAGGGGCACCGCTGGCACAGGGAGGAGGGCCCTGCAGGAAGGCAGAGGGCTTTTGGCTGATTTTAGGGAGCAGACTGGAGCCTCCATCCTAACCTCACCACCTGGTCCCTGCCCCTGGCTCCTCTAGATGCATGTCACCTCTCACCTGTCACCTGCACCCACTGAGAAGTGTCTTACTGTGTGCTTCGGTCCTGCGGTTCCCAAGGCCCCAGGGGCCTCAGTTTCTTCCCGGTAGTCTTGGATGTCTTGGATCTCCTGGTGGCTCTGCTGGTGGTGCCTTGGAAAGCGACAGCCCACGAAGCAGGCTAGGGGCCCTTGGGGTTCTTTGTGACACCTGGGTGGCCTTTGACATCATGCGGTCCTGTCTCCGCCCTCCTGCTCCTGTGCCTCATCAGCCTGGAGCCCTGTCTGGCTACCGCCAGCCCCTTTTACTCCCAGCAGCACCTGAGCCCCAGGGCTGCTCTGGGGGCCATTCCCGTGGCCTGGCTGCTGCCAGTTCTCATTTCTTTCATCCCTGTCCTGCTGCTCTGGCATCAGGCATGGGGGACAGGTGGCACAGGGGGCAGGTGGCACAGGGCGAAGCCCAGCCCAACAGTACAGAGTCCCCTGTCTGGGTTCACAGATACAGCCCCAGCCTCAGCCACACCTGTGTGCTGGCCTCCTCATTGGCCAGCTTCTTATGCACATCACTGATTGTCGCATCCACCATCCCACCTGCAGTTCTGTGCTGGAGCTGCTGGGTGCCCCTGGCTGTAGGGCACCCATGGAGCCTTCATCTGCATCTGTCCTGCCCCACCCCACCCCCACCCCCAGCACTTTCTGCGAAGAGACCAAGGTGCAAAGACCTTATTTATCATCATGGGGGACTTTGTGTGCTGCGGGCCTCCACTCTTCATTCTCAACTGCTTGATGCCCTCCTGCCCTGCTGCCAGGCCTGGCCTCACCTGTGTCAGGGAGACAGACACCTTCAGCATCTTTGGGTGGTGTGCCCAGGCTCACAGCCCTCAATCCTGTGGTGTATGCATTTAACAGGGAGTTCCACCAGTCTTTTGTCTCACTTCTGAACTGGGGCTGTTGCCCCAGGTCCTCTGCTGTGGGCGGAACAGTCATCTTCAGCAGTGAGCTGGTGTCCTGCTGCAGGGACGCGAGCTGCCTGAAGAAAAGGCTGCTGTGCCTCCTGTAGAGGTGTCCGTCCTGTATCCAGCTGCCCTGGTCTAGAGGGTGAGACAGCAGTGAGCCTGGAGGAGGGTCCCAGTTGAGAGGGCATTGTCCCTGGAGAAGGCTGCCTCCAGCCCCTGGCACGCCCTTGCTGGAGCGGGAGGTTAGGAGGGGAGCCATGGACCCGGTGTGTGGAGCCCGGGAGGCCAGAAGCAGAGGAACTAAGAGATGCAGGTTGTGGTTGCCTCTGCCGTGTGGGGGACACCCTTGTGGGATCTGCGGGGCACTTTGGTGTCCTGTCTCTGGAGTCTGATAACCACAGGATGTCTCTGGGTTTTCCCTTTTGCAGCTGTAACCAATTCTTCCCATCCTGTGGCATCAGGGCAGCCCTCGTCCCAGAGCCCTGTTGGACAAGGCATCGAGCTCTGGAACAAAAATATCTTTTCTGATTCCTTAGTCCCTGAATGGAGTCAAAGTCTTTTATGCCACAGCCAAAGCCTATGCTTTTCATATTCTTGGAGCGGCAACACACTGCATGAAATTTCCACTGCCGGGTGAGTGACTGAAGACAGAGCAGGCAGGTGACTTGCAGGGGAGGGTCTGGGGTGTAAGGGGACAGGGTGGTGCAGCCTGTGGATGGGGCGTTGACAGCGAACTTCATAACTTGGCCAGGAACTTGCTTTGCCCACCAGGCCTTTTCTTCCTCTGTTGCTGGGGTATCAATGGTCTGTGAGCTGAGTTTACCCCTGGGCATTGGTGGCGGCAATGGTGGCGGTGCTGATGGATATATATAGTGACAAAAATGGAGTGACTATTGATGATGAGAATGAACTAAAATAGAGTCAGGGGCCATAGGGAAATAGGGTCAATGCCCTCCTTTTTTCTGAAACAACTGTTCTCAGAATTATGTTAAACTTTGTATTCTGGACAAACATTTCCTGCCTCCAACAAAGTGGGCTTTTTGCCTAGTGAACAGCCTTAGCAACCAGTTATGTAAAGCTACCTGCAGGTTACCCAACTGTAGTTCTTTCAGAACAACTTACGGAAGCCCCCTCAGATTTCCCCTTTTTCCTTTAAAAACCCTAAGCTCTTTCCCCTCTCGGGAGCATCCTTCCTCCCAAATCTGTGTTCCTGGACTGCAATCTGTAGGACTCTAAAGAAATGCCACTGTTTCATAGCTTTGCCCTTTTTTTTTGGTGGACATGGAGTTGGTGGTAATGGGGGTGGTGGTGATAGTGATGACAGTATTGGCAGGGACTGGTGGTGATGGTTAGGGTGGTAGCTGCAGTGGTGATGGTGGTGGTGGTAATGATGGTGGTTGTGGAAATGACGGTGGTGATGGTGGTGGTGGTGACGAGGGTGGCTGGTTGGCGGTCGCAGTGGTGGTGGTAGTGGAGATGATGGCAGTGGTGATGGGGAAGGAGGCTGGGGAGGGTGCACAGAGGAGTGGAGCCACCTCAGGTAGGCTTGATAGTCAGAATTTTAGGGCGAATTGGCCTCAGATGCCAGAGTTCCAAGATGAGGATCAGAAGAACAGTCGGTTTCCCGAAGTCACCCTGTGAGTAAGGGACAGGTGACAATTCAGGAACCTGGTGCTGTGATTCATGATGCTATTAGAGCCATCTGGACTAAAGGCAGCCCAGCACCCCATGGTGTGTCCCTGCCCAGTGGGCATGATTCCCAGACAGCTGCTGGTACCCTGCCCACATAGCATGGCACTGCAGAAGCTAGTCTTGAAGCTAACTTGGCTAAGCCATAATTCTTGGTTCCTCAGCGTACAGTTCAGTTGGCAGTTAGCCAACTAGTCCCCTGGGGGCCTTGAGGGAGTGAGTCAGCAAGCAGGTAGGTTTTGAGGAAGTGAGAGGAAAGGACTCCAGCACACGAGATGCTATGGCAAGAGGTTTTGCAGTGGGTGCTGGTGGACTTAGAGCACCAGAGAGGTGGGAGGAAATCACATTCAGAGACATCTGCATATGGATTAACTTTCCCAGCATCCAGTAGGAGCAGGCTGAGAGCCTCCAGAGCCAGGCTGGACAGTTGGGGACCATGCTCAACCAGGTCCCACAGACACCAAGTTAGCATCGTGACATCCTTCCCTTCCCGATGGGCTAGAGGTTGGGCAAGCAGGATGGAGGGGCCCTTTACACTTTTGTCTACACAGTGTTTTGGATGGTGGAGAAAAGATGATAAGACTTAGGGCTCACAGCTGGACCTGTGATTTTGTGGCCACAGACCCTGGGTCCAGGGCCAGAGGAGGTCAGGAGGGCCTTAAATCTGGCTCTTTCAGAGTCGGAGCTCTCAAAATGCCTCACCTGCACAGCAGAGACACCCAGGGGTCCATCTCCATTAGCCTTTACATGCTGGGTGCTTTATGGATTAATCTCATTGTGGATTAATTCATTATTGATTGACTCAGTGGGGCCAGCACTATTATAATCCACATTTCATAGATGAAAAAATCAAAATAGATATGGTTAAGCCATTTGCCCAAGCAAGTAGCCATGCCAGTATTCAAGCATAGAGGTGGTCCCTAATACTCGCCCTCATAACCGCTATGCTATGCTGGGATACTGGGAGAAGGAACGGGTTGGGGGTGGAATGGCTACGTTTTTTGGGCTCTTTTAATAAATGACTTAAGACCTGCTTCCTTCTTACATGTTTATGAAGGTATTTCCTGTTCCTGTGCTAAATACAGATGTGTGTGTCTGCAGTCTGACTTGTCTGTTTTGCCCTGGGCAGAGCTTGTGGTCACAGTGGTGGACCCGTGTTTGAGCCACCCTCCTTCTGGCTCAGGGACCACTGTGGGCTGGCTTTCTGTGTGCACAGGGATGGGCCAGTGAGACCCAGTGCAGCCAGGAGACAAGAGATCCGTGTTCTGCTCCTTTGTCACCTGGAGGTGTGATGTCAGGGAAGGTGGGTCGTTCTGAGGATCTTTTTCTTTGTGAAGAAGAGATCTGAGAGAAGGACTGTTTCTCTTCAGCCTGCCTCAGAAGGGACATTGATGACTGCAAAGAAATGGGAGCTGTGTAAATGCTTTTTGAAATTATCAAGTGCTACCCTGATGAAGGGTACCCTGAAGGTGAGGATCTCCAAGCTGCCCCCTCTGGAGTCGGGGTCATTGTCCACAGTGGCTGGGCCATTGCCTTATGAAACTCCAATCTCCAACACACCAGGCCTGTTGGCCCTGTTGGCACCTGCCTGCTGTGGCCTGCCCCTGCCCTGCTGGGCTCTGTGAGCTGGGCTCCAGACACAGTCTGGGGGCACGTTGAGCTGGGGCCTAGTAGAGTCGCCAGCAGTGAGGAGGGGACACAGGGCTCTCCTGTGCAGATGACTCAGGCCACTTGAGGGTCTGGGGCGTCTTGAGCAATCAGCCTGGCTTGTTCATAGCAGCCATCAGCCCAGGCTGGCTGGCCCTGGGTAGGGGGTAGTGTTGAGGGAGTCTGGGAGACAAACTCTTTTGTAGTAGAAGGAGATCACAAGGGGGCGTCCTGGATGGCAGGAGACTTGGCTTTGGGGGCATCTGGAGGTGCCCATCTGCCTTCCCTGCATCCCAGTGCGCCTGTCGCTCCCTGCAGCACGCACTGTGATCCAGGAGGCTGGTGGTGAGGAAGAGCCCCGGTGGGACTGGGCTGGGGCCTGAGACAGAGAAGACAAAGCCCAGAGGGCTGCGGGGGGCTTGGAGTCCAAGCCCTTCCACGCCTGGCTCTGGCTGCACCTCTGCGCACTGGCCCCAGGTGCCCAGTCCTCATCTAGCCTGTTCCCTGTGTCCCGTCTGCCTGCCTGGCTGGGCTCAGAACCTAGTTTGTTACCCTACTGCAGAAACTGCTTAAGGCCTGGTCTCTTGCCTAGACAAAAAGCATCTTGGGGCAGGCAGTGTGCTTGACACTTGTTACCTGGTCTCTAGCCTAGACAAAAAGCATCTTGGGGCAGGCAGTGTGCTTGATACTTGTTACCTGAGAAAAGGAGGAGAAACCAAGAAAGAGCAAAGACCTTTTATTTGGGGTGTCAGAACTGTGGTTTGGGGAGCAGATCCCAGTCACCAGGAAAGTGCTCTGCTAGTAAGGTTGAAAGCAAAGGAATTTTATGAGGAAAAGGAAGTGGGGGACAATTACATGAGTGAAGAAAAGAGAAATAGTCATCTTTGGGTGTTGATAAGCTAAGCAACTCCAGGTTATGCATTGACTACTGAGTCTATCTTCAGAAAGTCCACAACCATCAGGCTTGTCGTTAGCATGCCCATTCTCCTGCTGGCCACTCTCACAGTTGCTTAAGACAATTGCCATTTTGCACGGTCCAAAGATTTTGGTCAGGTTCAAACTAAGGTAAGTCAAGCAGTTTCTTTACAGTGGCCTCTCTGGCTTTAAAAATGACTCCAGCCGTGCCAGTTTTTCACATTTCCCTCTTTTGATCTAGATCTTTCTCTGGAAGCATCGCTGATCAATCATTGGAAACTGTTGCTGATTGATTTATTGGAAGCACTGCTGATCAGCCATCGAGCATCCTTGATCCCTCGGGGCCATGAAGGCTCATTCCTGGTGTGCCGCGTCCTATGAAGGAGAGAGAGAGTGTTCCTTTGGGAGTCATAGCGGGGCAGCCAGAACGCCAAAGCAGAGAAAGAACTTACTGGCAAGTTCCTTAAGGCCAAATGTCTTTCGCAGTTTCTGGAGCTTCCTCACGTGATGTGTCATAGCCTTAGAAATCACTTCAAAATGCTGACAGACCACCATTGGGTGGTGTCTTTATAACATCGAGATCCTCAGAGGAGACAAAGTTTTGCAATGACAAAATGCCAATAATACTAAACAAAGCGCGGAGTCCAAATTGAAGGCTTGTTCTGAGCCAGGAAGCAATTCCTGAGGGCAGCCAGCTAAGCAGATCCAAGGACCACGGGGTGTCCATGGGCACCGCTTTTAACCATCTGGTTTGTGCCCAGATTTTGTCATTTTGTTTCTACTTCACCAGAGGTGTTCACTCAAGTATGACAAGAGGCATCTGTCATAGAACAACCCCACGGTTTTCAGTTAGAAGGCGATCAGGAGCAATTCGATTATCTAATACACCTCGTGCAAGGAGCCCAAAGACGTTTTATTGTTTTTGCTGCAATTTTTGTGACAGATTTAGCAATAACTCTCAGGGTTGTCCCAACAGCTTTGCTGGGTTGACACCACCAGGTATTGAACACCCTTGACTGTATGGGGCCAGTGTCATACTTCTGTGACACCGTGAAGTAAATGTAAAGGTGATGCCCCCCTGCTGAGTTTCTGATTGATTATACAATGAAACAGGAGTAAGCAACGATCCAATTGCACAATGACCTCTAATTTGATAAGGATTTAAACAGTGTGTTTCCTAAAGGTCTTCTTGCCAGATACAAGTGAAAATACACCCAAAGGGAGCACAAACTATGGAGTCCTAATACACCGTAGTTCAATCAGTAACGTGAGTGTGTTTTAGTAGGCCAATTAACATCAGAAAGGAAATACAGAATAGCAGCATCTAAAAATATCTTTAAAAATCTGGGGCATGTCAGAAATATTCAAGATCACAATCTTGCCAGTGCTGTAAAACAGGCGTAATATGAAAAGGAGTGAGAGCTGAGTCAAAATAATGTTTATGAGTATACAGGCCTGGTCTGCAGTCGGGAATTAAGATGTCGTAAGTAAGATGCCGTCTGCTTCATTTTCTTGGTTTGATTCATCAATCTCTGGCATGTGTATCGGGCCAGATGTCAGGTGGAGCCTTCTTTAGCTGCGAGATGTGTACCCAAGGCCCGAGTCCCTGAAGTGTGGTTGCTCTCTGGGTAGTGAGGACTGGGTATAGCTTCTTGCAGGGAAATTCAAGGGCAGTCTTTGTTCTCACTAATTTCAAATCAGACGGGTGGGAGCCAACTGGAAGCATTAGGTTGGGATCCTAGCCAGATGTATGAGGCCACTAGAAGATTTTAAGATCCAGCCTAGCTTACAGGTGTACACCAAAACTTCAGAGATGATTAGAGGGCTACTAGCCAAGATAGACAATGGTGCAAACACAACTTCTTCCTTTACAGTCACCCCCATTTTTAAAGCAAAGATAGCAACAGCAAAACTGATTTGTTTAAGTTTGGCCTAATTATTTATATAAAGGAGGAGGTCAGGAGGCCAATAAGAGTAATGATTCACTATATAAACTCTTTTTAAGATTTCCATGTTGGAACCTTGAAAACAATGTATTATATTAGGCCAGTTTTTCCAAGCATTTCTTTCCTTCAAAGTTGGCTGGTCATATATGAGTCCACATGTGTATCTTTCAAACATGATATTTTAGTCAAATCCCTTGCAAGTTAACTGATTCTTTTTTTTTTAAATCATGTCCTGTGGTAAGGAGAACAGATTCTCCCTGAATTTATGTAAATAACTAATGATACTGTCCAAATTCTGGGGGGATCAAGTAGGGAGAAAAAGATAAACATTTTACCTTTGTTTACAAAGGTGTATCTTACTAAATTGTTGGCAGCTTAAAAGAAAATATTTTCTTAAATCTGGAGAAACAAAGATTTAAAAAAACCAGTAATATTTCACACAAGTCGTACAAAATTAGTCATATTCATGAGTTCATTTCATCCTGTGTAATTAATCGTTGCTCTGCTTGAGTCCAGTTTTTCCACTAGTTTTGTTGACCTTGCCTGGTCATTGACAGTGATCATTTTAAGAAGTATGAAGATTCTCATTAAGACGTATGTAACTTGCCCAGTGAAGTGGTTGCTGGAGATTGTGGAAGGTACCCCAAATGGGAAAACCATTTAAAAATAACAAGAATGTTTTGATAACCCATGTAAGCTGGCAGTTGAATGAAACTGAGCTGCAGGTGTTTAAAAAGTCCAGAGGCGGGAGGTCTGGGGCCTCTGTGGACCAACTTAGTTCTCCTTAAAAGCACTAAGGCAGGTGAAGGAATGCAGAAACCAAAAATAGGGTTTGCCGGGGAGCAGGGAAGAACCAAGCAGCCATCTGGGGCTTCCCATAGCCCAGACTATTCATTTAATTTATGGCCATTGTTTGCCCATCTTAATTTCTCTGATTCAGGAGCCAACTGTTGCCATGTTATAAGGACATCAGCCTGGCAAAAGCCTGGTAATGAGAGGCTTTTTTTTTTTTGGTAGAAGCAGAATGGATTTTACCCACATATGGCAAAATCTTTATGGATTTATTATCTGTTGTTAAAGATTATATGAGAGTACACTGCAATGGAAGTGACAAGAAAACTTATTTTTGTGACAAGGTATTTTAAGACAATAATGAAAGAAGTATTAAAAGGTTTTAAAATACTAAATATTAGATTATTCAAAGTATTAAAACTTGATTAAATAGGATCACAGGTAACTGTAGAACAATTCTTAGTTATTCATTTAGCCAAAGTGGCTATTAAAGAGTGCAACAAGCACAGAAAGGTAAAAAGCCTAGCTCTCTCAATGTTGAAAAGACTCAGTTGTTGTTGAGTTTTTTTCCTGAGTAATCAAAGACCTGATAAAGACAAAACATAGAATATTTTGTTTTTAGACAGATTACATAAAAGAAAAATCTTTGTTTATAATTTCATATTAAAAGACCAACAATCTAAGCAAACTTTGTCCTTTTAATAAAGAAAAAAACAAATCTGAATTTTACACCAATTTAACTTTTTTAAAAATTATTATTATTTTATTTTATTTTTATTTTTTTAATTAAGATATGATTGATATACACTCTTATGAAGGTTTCACATGAAAAAACAATGTGGTTACTACATTTACCCATATTATCAAGTCCCCACCCATACCCCAATGCAGTCACTGTCCATCAGTGCAGCAAGATGCCACAGAGTCACTATGTGCCTTCTCTGTGCTACACTCTTCTCCCCGTGATCCCCCACACCATGTGTTCTAAACATAATGCCCCTCAATCTCCTTCTCCCTCCCTCCCCACCCGTCCTTCCCCACCCCTCCTCCCCTTTGGAAACCACCTGTTCATTCTTGAAGTCTCTGAATCTGCTGCCACTTTGTTCCTTTAGTTTTGCTTCATTGTTATACTCCACAACTGAGGGAAATCACTTGACATTTGTCTTTCTCCACCTGGCTTATTTCACTGAGCATAATGTCCTCCAGCTCCATCCATGTTGTTGCAAATGGTAAGATTTGTTTTCTTTCTTATGGCTGAATAGTATTCCATTGTGTATATGTACCACATCTTCTTTATCCATTCATCTACAGATGGACACTTAGGTTACTTCCATATCTTGGCTACTGTGAAAAGTGCTGCAGTGAACATAGGGGTGCATATGTCTTTTTGAATCTGAGAAGTTGTATTCTTTGGGTATATTTCAAGCAGTGGGATTCCGGGGTCAAATGGTATTTCTATTTTGAGTTTTTTGAGGAACCTACATATTGCTTTCCACAATGGTTGAACTAGCTTACATTCCCACCAGCAGTGCAGGAAGGTTCCCCTTTCTCCACATCCTCGCCAACATTTGTTGCTGTTTGTCTTTTGGATGGTGGCGACCCTTACTGGTGTGAGGTGGTATCTCATTGTGGTTTTAATTTGCATTTCCCTGATGATTAGTGATGTGGAGCATCTTTTCATGTGTCTGTTGAACATCTGAATTTCCTCTTTGGAGAACCGTCTCTTCATATCCTCTGTCCATTTGTTAATTGGGTTATTTGCTCTTTGGGTGCCGAGGTGTGTAAGTTCTTTATATTTTGGATGTTAACCCCTTGTCAGATATATCATTTACAAACATATTCTCCCATACTGTAGGATGCCTTTTTGTTTTGTTGATGATGTCCTTTGCCGTACAAAAACTTTTTAGTTTGATGTAGTCCCATGAGTTCAGTTTTGCTTTTGTTTCCCTTTCTCGAGCAGATGGGTTCAGGAAGAAGCTGCTCCTGCTTATATTCAGGAGCTGTTTGCCTATGTTGTCTTCTAAGAGTTTTATGGTTTCATGACTTACATTCAAGTCTTTAATCCATTTCAAGTTTACTTTTGTGTATGGGGTTAAACAATAATCCAGTTTCATTTACACCAATTTAACTTTGATGTTAAAAATCATTTTTAAGTAAATTCATTTCCATCTTAGCCAGCTTGATCCCACATTAATATTCATTTTTAAAGATTTCTTTTCCATGAACCTTCTACAGCTTTCTTTGTACATTTAGATTTTTTCCTAAGTTTTCCCTCTTTAAATAACCAACTTCATTTTAGGAAAAAGAAATTTTTTCCCCTTAACAAAAATTTGTTTCCATTCCTCATACTTTCTTGTACTGAAAGCACATATCATTTTTTTTCTTGCCTATGAGATGTTTCCCTTATTATTTCTAGAAGCTTCTAAAATTACATTATGAGAATTCTTAACTTCTAGAAACCTTAATTAAAAAAGAAATAGTTGTGAAAACATGTTTACTAACAGATCCAAATTGATCTTTAGTTTCTCTGTAATACAGAAACCCAAAATAGATAAACCTATGTGCAGTAATTAATGTTTAATATTTTAT